GTGGGGGCTGGTGGGAGGGGTTTGTTTCATTCCCTAGCTACCCTGTCCCTCCCAACCCTGAACTCAGCAAGCCTCTGCCTCCAACATTCTTGCTGGGTTGTGTTTTTGTTCTTTTCTGCTGTACAGGGTATTTTATTTTGCTTACTTTTTTGTTTTATTTTAAGTTGATCTATTTAGAGTGTGACTCTTCCACTCCTTGTTGCAGTGTTGCTCCCTGTAGTCATCAGGTTTTATAGACTCAGGGGAAAACCATTTTCACAGGGCAATGTGCTCGGTGCCATCAGCAGTCTTTAATAGGCACACTCCTAATTCGCTTATGGGAGTTGTTGGTGAGGATGTTGGCTTTGCTTCTCAGAGACTGCTATATTCTGTAACAGTTCAGCAAAAATTGTACATGTTACAATCCAAAAGGCAATGCTAATCTCCAAAATATTTTATGTTTTACACATCACTCCAACCCTAAGGTTAGAAATAGAATGATTTCTTTAAAATGCATTTTGTTCCAGCACAATATCACATGCTTTTAGGGGAGAGATTCTTTGTTGTTCCTTTGCTTGTTCTTTTTAAGCATTTGGCTTTGCATTTCAGCTTTTCAAGGAGTACTTTATTGAAGTTGATAATTGTATTATTTTAACAGCCCCCATCCATTTGTGGGAAATTTAAGAGAGCGAGACTTATTTGTATAAGCAGGTACTTCAGATTTCAAGATATTTTGGCTAGCCGAACTCTATGTCTGTCTATTCTAGAATATGTTCAGCAAAACATTAGACCCAGCATCATACATATGCTGATTAACTTAAAGAAAATTACATTTCCTGCAGACATTCTGAAATACGTTTCAATTTAACTTTGTTATTTTTTGCTTAGAATGCTGAACGTATTTTTCCCCCATAGAAGTGATGTAAAACATTTATTTCTGTTTCTTGACTAATCCATAAACTTTATTTAACCCAGATGTTAAGAGAAGCATATCGACGAAACTACCTACTATCATTCCTTTATCAAATGGATTTTGGATCTCAACTAGTAGTAGTTACGATCATCTTCATTTCTTTGTGGTTAAGATATTCACAAGCCTGGTAAATTTTTTAAATTCAGTCTGAGAACAAAAATCATCTATCACAGTGTGATTCCTAACTTATCATTAAAGCTTTATTTTTTGCCCTTTCGAGATTAGTACACGAGTCATACATTGTCACTATATTTTGTTTACTAATAATTGTTTAGCAAACAATTTTTGTTTACTTATGGAGAGCCTCCTGTTTCTTCAACAGGTTTCATCCATTATCAGAGCAAATGGGGTGAATCTATAGATTCCTCTTTTTTTTTTTTTTTAAG